AGCCCCAGTCGCGCGCGCGCGCCCCGCGGGATTGCGTTCAATTTTTTCACGCGCGCGCGCATGCAGCGCGTTTAAACGCGATTGAACGTGGGGCAGGGGGGATTGAACGCGCGCGTTTGAACATGAACGCGCGTTCACGGCGTTCAACCGGTTACACAGATATTAACCATGGCGCTGGCGGGGGAATGGTCGTTGAAGCCATATTCACTTAGTCCCATTTTCTTGGTAACTCCGAGATGAGTGATTTTTGTTGCCAAACGGATTCGTGATTGATTGTCGGAGCCATCGGCTCCTTTTGTTTTTTATCACAAGCCTCGCTGATTCTACCTATGTCCTATGTTGCACGTTGGCCGCGGCCGAGTTCGGCCCAGGCCGCGGCCAGCGGCCTATGCCGGGACCCCCCCATCCACGGCGGGGCATGACGTTCTCGTTCACAGGCTCGTCGATGCAGCGGCCCCCGTGTGCAGGTTCGTCGATGCGGGGTGGCCCGCGAAAAATCCAGCGGTGCCCTGTGTCTGCGGGCCCGCGAAAAATCCAGCGGCCCCCGTGCGCAGGTTCGTCGATGTGGGGTTGCAGGGAAGAGGGTCTGGAACAGTGGGGGGAAAAAAAATAAAAAATTGGTCCCTGCGGGGGCGGCCCAACGTGGGTTGGATGAGGGCCTAGTTGGGGCGGGCCGTGCGGCCAGATCGGGTCGAAGGTAGACGGGGCTGCAGATGGCAGACCCCAAGCGGATCAGGTCCCCACGCACTGAAAGGCAGGCGTCGGTTTCATTAATGAGGGCGATGACAGTTCGTGGCTTATTTTAAAACAACACATTCATGGTAAATTTGGCAATCATAAGTCAGACCCTGTTTGGCATACCAATGTCAAAACACATTGAAAATCAATCACAGTGCGGCGAACCACAAGTTTTAAACAATGATAACAGGCAAGTGTGCCATAGTGTGTGTTCACTCAGGAGACTGATGGACATTCATTAGCACATCATTTATGTAAGAACACATTCATTAGCACGTCATCCCTATCTCGCATCTGAAATTAACAGCACATTCATAATGGAGGCATCCATGACATGCACGTGCGTGGCATCGGAGAAGCACATAATTTGCAACAATCACGACAACATAGCAGAAAACAATCACCAAACAACAGCAACTCAGATGCAAGACCAATGTCGGCGGAGGAACAAGAACAAGAGCAAATATATGACAAAGCATTTGAATGGAAATGCGTATGTACAAGGCTAAAGCCAAAAACTGGACCCGTAGTCTCTACTGTACAACCGAGTAGCAAAAAAAACTGGACCCATCGTCTCTGCTACGCAACAGACTGGCAAAAAAAAATTGGACCCGTCGACGGGCGTCGTCTCTACTGTACAACCAAGTAGCAAAAAAAAAAAAAAAAAAAAACAAACTAATGTCCACATACTGTCGTCGTCTCTATGGAACAACATCGACATAAATATGCAACAATCGTGCCGACAGAGCATCCAGGCTGCACAGCCACGCAAAAAAAAAAAAAAAAACTAATGAAAAAAATAAAAATACACCACGGACGTCGTCATCTCCCACCAGAGCGCGCGCGGCCTCTCCCAGAGGACGTACGGCCATGCGGTCCTCCCCGGCGCCCTCCTCTCCCTCCGGCACTGTGCCCCGTGCCCCGCTGACATATGCTGCATGTGCTGCAGCAGCCGCCGCGGCCACCTGTGCCCTGTGTCTGCGGGCCGCAGTCTTGATCGGCTCGGACTCAGTGTCTGTGTCCTCGTCCTCCTCCGCCTGTGCAGCAATCCCCCTCTCTCTCTCCCTCTGAATTGCGTCCAATGCTGCCTGCCCAGCGGCGACCCCTGCAGCGAGTCGAGCCTCAACCTCCGAGAGTCCATGATGTCGTCTCATCCCGGGATGCATCAACAACCCCTCCTCGCCCGATGTGAACTGCTCTCCCCGCAGCCTGTGCGTGGATGTCCCTGCGGCCTCGAGGACCAATGATCTCCTCGTCTCCGCTCGTGACAAACCAAGCATGCGGCCTGCCATCTGCAGGCTCGGACGTCCGGACCCACCCTCCGTAGCCTGCATCTGAACAGGCGTACGTCCCGTGAAGACGCCCCTCCCGGCGTCGTAATCCGCCCGCAACCGGTCCCCGACCCGACGAACAGCTGACCATCCACCACCCACACCTCCTCGGACTGGCGGCGGGGAACCGCCACTGTGCGCAACTCCGGGTGCCACCGTCCGGTCCCCGGTGTCGACCCTGGCCTCCGGAGTCTGTGCGGGTGGTGGAGGCATCGATCCTGCACTATCTCTGCCGCCGTCGTTGGGTCTGCCGGACCCCACCTCACCCGCACCGGACTCCCTCCCTCTAACGCCGCTGAGCGATGAACCCGACCAATGAGGGCTCTGCACTGTGAACGGCGACAGTGAATATACCCTCCCAGGGGCCCGCTGCTAGCCGCTCTTGCGGCTCACGTGTGCGAAAGGGTCATCCGTCAACGCATGCGCCAAAGCGTCGGCGTCGAAGAAAGTGTGCGGTGTGTCGTCAAGGCGCAAGGGAGGCACTGCAGGGTCCCTCAACACCAAGGCGAGCCTATACGGATCGTCCTCGGGACCGTGGTCTTCGTCGTCGTCGCTGTCCGGTCCATCTTCTCCACCGACACCTGCGGTATCCCCATCTCCATCGGGTCCACCCTCTCCTCTGCTGCACACTGCGGCACCCTGTCCCTCATCACCCGCGGTCTCGCTGTCGCCACGGCCCATGACAACATCCTGCCCCTCAGGGACACTAGGGGACCCACTGCCCAAGACAACATCCTGCCCCTCAGGGACACCCGCGGTCTCCTCGTCGCCTCGTCGTCCACCATGTGACCCACCACCCGCGGCGGCATCCTGCCCCTCATAATCGAACTCCCCCTGAACCGCCTCCTCAGCGACGTCACGGCGCCCCCCCCCTCCTGTCTCCAAGTCCCTTTGCCGACGTTGCTCGTCGAGAAACGCGAACCGACCCTCCCACCATAGCAAACTCCTCAGCCGCTCCTCCTCTCGGTCCAAACGGGCATCCCTCGCCTCCTCAGTCTCAACAGGGCCCCGCTCAACGTCCGCGTCTGTGCGCACCTCCTGCGGTGAGGCACGTCGACGTCCCTCGACACTGAAATCTGCCAAGCTCCCGCCAAGCCCTACGACGTCGAAGTCCTGTGTGCGGAGCACCAATGGCGAGCGGGGGCGGATACCGGCGTCGGAAGGAGTCCTCTCCCCCCCACGATCCTCGCCGTCATGTGTCCGGTCTCTGCCTGCTGCCGACGCCAACCTCTTCGAACGCCTAAGTGCCTCGGGCTGTGCAGAGATCGGATGATGGGAGGGAGAGAAGCGACGATCGTGAAGGGGCACCTCCTCATCCTCGGCCTCCCCCTCGGCCTCGTTGTCGCTCCTAACCTCCCAACGCCTGCCTGTATGCCGAAGACCTCCCCGTGGCTGCTGATCCCCCAAGTCGTCCACGCGAACCTCCGAATGCGAACGTCCTCCACCACCACCGCCGGCTCTGCTGCTGCCACTCGCCTGCGCGGTCGACGACACATCACCAGTGATAACTGATGTGAATGAATCCATGCCGTCACGACCCCCGCCGTAAGTGAAGTACACTCGCTCAGCCGTCGGGTCGCTACTCAGCGGCGTGTCATCATCGTCAGTCCAGTCGTCGTCGATATCGTCATCTGCCGCAGCAGCATCCACATCATCCCCACCCTCAGGCCACGGTCGCAGCTCCGTCGCTCTGCTGCCAAACACGTCCCGAACCGAACGGGCTCTGGACGGTCAGCTGTCACGGAAAGCGACAATCTGCCGCTGGATCTCCTGCTCGAGAACACTGCCATCAGGTCGCGCTCCCCACACCTCGGGCTCCACATCTTCCTCATCCTCCTCCTCTGCCGCCGTCCCCCCCCGACCGGTCCCCATAACCCATGGCAACACGTAGCCACCACCCTGCTGTGCGCATGGGGCCAGTTTGAGATTGGTGGCAATCTCAACCAGCTGTGCAAGCTTGGCGAACCCAAGCTTGCAGCGCCTCACCGTGCTGTCCGCCCAGTTCCTCTCCGCTGGAGAGGCAGACGTCCACAAGTGCATGGCACGGATGGCGATGGTGCGCAACTCCGGGTGGGCACGTCCATGCTCAAACCACCACGCTGCACATCGCTCAGTCTCACTGTCCCCCCTGCAATCGGCCGCCTCGGCATCGGAGAGGTCACGATCTCCCCAATCCCCTCGCCTCGAGTGGAACGCCCTCATATGGTCCCTCACGGTCCTGTACAATAAGCCGACCGGATCGCCGCCGGTCTGCGCCAGGAGAAACTTGTCGCACTCCTCGACCACACGACGGTCGTCGGCCGTCGTCTGCAGCGAATGGTAATACGTGAGGGACCGTCGACGAGGGTTGAGGAGGTGGGCCGTGGCATGTGCGGGCTCTAGCATGTGGAGGTTGCGGATGGCAACCTCATGCACGCACGGCTCGATCATGTCCTCCGGCACGTCCACCCTCCTCATCAAGTGCAGCAGATGCTGACTCCACTCGTAAACGACGGACATCATCATCCCACCTCTATCCATCCTGCGCAGCAGCTGGTGGACGGGCGACATGACTAGGATGGCGTACTGGACACGCTGCCAAAACTCCCCGTCCCGGATTTGCTGCTGCACCCACTGCGCCAAAGATATGTGGCGCGATCCCACGGGATGCGTGCCCAAGCATCCCCGTGCAACATGCTTTCCAACACGTCCCGTCGGCCTTTGAGACACGTCAGCATCAGAAAAACCGATGCAAACCGTGTCTCAACGGGCTCGACGAGCTGAACGCGAGGGCTCACCTTCCTAAACAGGGTGTGAGCAGCGCCGTGCGATTTAATAAATCGCACAAGCGCTTGAGCGCGGATGATGGTCTCCTTGACCCACACCACTCACGTCCCGATATCTGACAACATCAAGTTGCAGACATGGGTGGAGCAGGGGAGCCAAGTGATTCTCCGATTCCTCCTGATGTCAGGCTCGGGGTCTGCGGCGAACCTGCGCGCTGCCGCCGTATAGTTACTGGCGGAGTCTGTGCAGAAGCTGATCACGTCCTTTGCAGGAAAGGACAAGATGATGGCCCGCCACCTACGGTACACGATGTCCGCTGTGTCTCGGACCGACCCGTCACGTGCGACGGTGGCGTACGCCCCTGGCGAGGAAGTTCACAAGCGGCTTGCCGCTACGCGACTTCCTCCCGTCGGAAAGGATAGTGGCACCGCTGTGCCGAAAAGTGGCGCGCACCCCGCTCACCATCGTCGCCACCTTCGCCCTCTGCGAAGGGATACCGGTGCCCGCTGTAACCCTGTAGGAGGAAAACCGGAACTGGATAGAGCGAGGCACTCTCTCTGCTGCCTGCCGCACCTTCTGGAACTCTGGACCACGGAAGGCGTTGAATGGAAACTTCTTCACGTAGATCCCCTGAAGCCACGCGTCTGTGAACTCGGCCAACTTCTCCCTGGCGTACATCTCGTCAATCATGGTCTGCCGAGCCCTCTTCTGCCTGCCCATGTCTGGCACCTCCACGGCAGCCTGCCCCACTGTCCTCTTCTCCCTCCTCGCGCGGTCCAACTCAGGTCGCGGCGCCCTAGGAGCGGGACCCGCTCGACCAACGCCTCTCGATGTCATCGCCACCTCCTCCCCTGGAAGATCAGGCTCTCTGACTGCCTCGTCTGCCACCCCCCCCTCCCTGGCCCCACCCTCGCGGCCCTCCTCATCGAGGGTGTCCTGAATGTCGTCCCTCTCTGCGTCGTCCATCCGCTGTCTCTAGCCACCCGCAGGCGCTCTCGTGTCCCGTATGCCCTCGTCTGCCATCCACGTCTGCACCCGCTGAGCAGTGGACGGCACAAATGTGTAGTCCGTGCCGTTCCAGAGTTCCGCAAGAAATCTCATCCCCCCAGCCTTGCAGAACTTCGACTGCGTGAAATGGCGCGCGGCCTTTGACGACCCCCCCTGAAATAGGTGGCCGCATAAGTTGCAACGCAACTTTCAGTCCCCGTGCATCTTGGACTGGTCCCCGACGTACTGGCCCGCAGTGACGAAGTTCCAAACAACGTTCCCTCGCCTGAACTTCGCCATCTCCTTCTCGGACAGCGGGTTGAATTGGCCACCCCCAGACCCCCCCGCACTGCTGCTCCCTGCACCCCCCGTCATCGCCCCCCCACCACGATCCAACAAGTCATGGCCTCGATCTTGGATATCGTCTGACCGCGCCGCACCGTCGATGAAGCGTCCCCTCGATGTCGCCAAACCCTGACGTCCCTGCCGCTCCTGCCGCCACGTCCACGTGATGTCGCGCAAGCCCACGACACAGCAACACCCCGGCCGGCCGCCCAGCAGTGCGCCTATGAGGCGGGCAGCCTTGCCCGGCCGCACTCGGCCGTGATCGGCCTCGATCGGCCTCGATCGGCCGTGCCTGGCCGAGTTCGGCCGCGTTCGGCCGTGCCTGGCCGCGGCCGGGCACTAAAATGGCCGCGCGCTTAAAAACGACGCGCGCGGCGATGGCGACGGCCGCTGGGCAGCGCGGGGCCGCTGTCCCGCGTGCTCGCGCGGCGCGCGCAGCTGCAGGGTGCGCAGGAAGAAGAAGAAGAAGAAGACGAAGAAGAAGAAAAAAAAAAAAAAAAAAAAAA